CAGGAATTTTAAGTGCTTTAAAATTAAGTGAGTAAGGAAACGTGACTAGAAGTATCCTCAGCATAGCGGGTAACTCTTGTAATATTTAAACATCTCATGATACGGTACATCTTGACAACTGATCACAAAAAATCCGTTTATGGAGCCCGAAGAATCATCCTCCTTCGTCATATAAGCCCCACCCCACCCCACTACTAGATCCGATTCGGCCATTTCAGTCCACTTATCTTCATGAACAATTTTTCCCGTCTTTGCTTCGGTTTTTCAAACAGTCTACACCCCTGAGGTTTCCCCACATTATCTGACATGACCTATCATGTTTCTCCTCATGACCTTTGCCTTCCAGGTTCTACCAATTTCAGTTTACAACACACGATCTATTTAGTTGGTGAAGAGTTCTCCACCGTTTCGGTCTTCAGGGTTGAAGATGGAGGCGACACGTTCCTCCGAAACATTTATAACCGCCTACCTACAAGATCACGCGGGGTCACAACCCACAAGCGATATCTTCACCTCCATGAGAACCTCAAACCTCACAAGTGCTTAATCAGACAACGGATGTTTGCTCAAAGCAAAAGACGTGGGGGAAAAAGTCACATAAACCAAACACAAACGCAGGAGCATAAATTATGAAGGGGACGTAGATGTTACTGTAGCAGCCTATTTATTATAAGTTACAATCCCGACGTTCGTGTAAGGAACACAGAAATTAAGCGCGGAACACAATCTGGTGTTGTAGACATCAAGTTACAGCCGAGACCGATACCGGAAGAATGCGCTTGTTCAGATAAAATTATTCCTATCACGTTACGTACGTGCTTTGAACAGACATCAATGCCCTACGCTTTTCAAACTGTGGTCCGCGGACGGCATTAGGCCGTTGAGACCTCCCGCGCCGAAGAGAGGTAGATGGTAACCAAAAATTATTCAATTAAGTTTCTCAACCCTTTAACTGTTTGCTACTGCTACAACGAAACTGCCTGTCGGTCGCGTTAAACAATTCTCCATACCTCTCTTGTCAGAACAGAGAAATGTGACATGAAGTTTTCACAGTTCTGCTAGTTCGAAGCCTTCGTCAACAAGTAAGATCCTTCGTCCCCCCACCCCAAAAAAAAAAATTAAGTGGTATAAATTCAGGAATTCCCACATATTATTTTAATAATTATACAGCGTGTCCCTTTGCCCTGGGATAAATGATACCGTATCGTGAAGTTGGCCAATCATCTTCATACAGAGCCAAGATTAAGAGTCTACACAACTCTACTCCAACACCACCCATACCACTTACCTTTTATTATCAATATGTACACCGCTCTCCAGAGATAAAAATAATTGCTTCTATTTTAAATTATTTTATATGTTTTATTTTAACCGTTTTACTTTCGGGTATTTGCAACATATGTTATTAAAAGTAAGAGCTTGACCTTACAAGAAGGTCACAACTTCTTTCATATCGTCATGGAATCTTTCACGAGCCACATCTAAATTATTTGTCGATCGGTTCCTCACTTCTGCTGCAGGTACCAATTGGAACAGAGAACAATCTCAGCCGGAAATCGAATCCCGGCCCCTCAACACGTGGCCCGTTAATCAGCATTTAAGACAAACTAATGTTGCTCATAACTGATTTTCACGTACGGTTGTAATTTCAGTGTTAGGTAAAATATAGGGTATAACACAAACTTTGACTCTATCAAATTTAATCCGAAATGGTTACGCTCAGCGTACATGAAACATGTAAATTTTTCTCAACCAATGGTCAAAACATGAAAGCAACAGCTTGCGTATTCTTGGCAAATAATGAGACGACTGAAGGTAGCAATTTTTCGTCAACGAAAAGGTGTAACTAAAAACGAAGCTTCGACCTTTCATTGTCCTGAAGTATATAATTTCATAATCTGTGCTGGTGCACTGAAATTTCAATCGTTCTTTCGCTGCCTCTTGGATAGGGAAATCTGTGGTAAAGTCTCTGCGCGATTATAACAGAATAAAAATAAAATTATCAAAAAACTTGTTATCCCTGAACAGAACAGACAACCATTATTCCAAAGGCAACTGCAATGTCAAAAGCATTTGTGTCCACTACGCGTTTTCTCCATAAAATATCTGATCTGCTCATACATATTGTCCGCTTATTTGTTTACCTTGTCTCACAGACGTATGACTGACTCACTCCATGGCTTCACTGTTCTTGAAGAACCTTGGACTCCTCACATATTCTCCTCCATTCTCCTCCTCCTCCTCTGTCCATTGCCTTTGTCCTCCATCTCTTCACCGTTCTTAATCATTTTGTCCTGGACGCCGTCTAACCACTATTTCTTTGGTCTTCCTTCTCCAGGATTTCCTTCCAGTGCCATTTCTGTCCTCTTTGTGTATTCTATGAAAGTGGTTCAACCACCTTCATCTTGACTTTTTAACGTTTCAGCAAAGTCCACACTCCTGATACATACATCTTCGCTCTCAGTTACTTCTTATCTTCCACATAATTCTTTCAATTATTGGCTCAAAAAATTTCCTTGGGTCGTCCTTTCTCATGTAGGTCCTGAGTACTGATGAACATCTACTCTCTTTATTTTCGTATGAACCCGTGCCTCGCTTACTTCAAATGTTTATGGTATTAACCATAAACTTCCTCTTACCATGGTTCGTACTACTGAAAACAACATAATATCGTCGGAGTTTACTAGTAATTTTGTGCAAGAAACTGGATAAGCATATGCCAACACAGTCAAATTCCACTCAGTTGTCACAACGGGTCACCCACGAAACGAAGCCACGATCTGTCGGTCAAATACGACGTTTCCCCATAAAGCAGTGTCCTACCGATAGACCATGCTTGCGTTTCACGTACTTTAAAAGTTTAAAAATGTTCTCTGTACATCCCACATAAAACATTAAGTCTGTGAACCGCGTCTCATTTCTGAGGCACGACAATGAATGTTCCCCGTGACCAATTCTTATTAACATGGCGTTATATAAAGCAACAATAAAACATAAATGAGATCTGAGGTTCTCACAGCATGAACATGTTGATGGTATGAAGATTTCTGTCTTCTGGGTTATTGCGCTGTGTAGTCTGAAACGTTGGTTAACATCGACCAGACTACACAGCACAACAACCGAGAATCCAGAAATCTTCATACTCACCGCTGTGAGAACCTCAAGTCTTACATGTTGATGGTAGTCTTCTGGGTTGCAACGTCCAGCCCTGAAAATTAAGGCAGTATGTTCTTCCTACACGCTGGCATTTACCTACCACTAGTACGCCTACCATTAAATAATATTTTGACCTTTGTAGACGAAAATGGCTATGAGGTCTGCCCGGCCTCCTAACCAGTGGGCACTGGGAACTGAGTTTAGTCAACAGAGGCAATTTCCTTTCTGTGTTACTTTGAAACGAGCCGGGTAGCTATGGACTGGAAGACCAGGGATTGATTCCCGGCAAGGGAAGATTATTTTTCTTCTAGCCTCAGCGATCAGACCGCTTCCATTTTTATAGGGCACAGGACTTAACATCAGGTTCTACGCTGCAGTGTAAAGAACACAACTTACAAAACTATCAATTTACAACTTCTTGGCACTCTGACCATTAAGTAAATACGTCACCACAATGGGAGCCGGGATAGCTGTCAGTATAGTTGACTAGCTACGGGCAGAGGATTTCTCCCTCTAGCCTCTGCGTCCAGACCGGCTCTGGGGTAAGGCTTGGCCGGGGGGCGTGATGCTGACCACTCACCCCCATCAAGTGCCGAGGTCAAGAATGAGTAGGAGCTATACCATCTCTCCCCCAAACGACCTAGATGGAGTGTAGCGGGACGGCTTCACATGACAGCTGGTCTCCAAGCAATACGATTTCTGTAATTCGCGGCAACAGAATTCGGTCACCCGAGGTCCGAGGTAACGAAGGGAACATGGCACACTTAAATTCTGCAAGGGTTCACAAAGTTTAAGTAACTGTTTAGGAACATCTTACCGAAATTCGAATTTCAAATGGAGCTTTACCTCCATTCGCTCAGATGACTTCACGACATTCTGCTTAAGCACAACGACAGCTTTAGTTTATATTTTGACAGCATAAAACCAAGCATCTAAGCGTATTTAACTGATCATGTCCGTTCTGGCTCAAAGAGCTCTCTGAAGAGCCCTAACAAGATCGGGGGGTGCACAATGGATCATCAACGGTGTGAGCGTCTGGAGGCGACTTAAATCCCCCCCCCCCCCGGACCAATACCAATATCATAGAACATGGGCATTACATTTCACCCTGGGGTACCGTAGACATTTTCTAAGGGCGCCGCAGAAATTTAAACATCCTAATCTTTCAGTTTTATTGCTATAAATGCGTATTTAATTTACACGACTCCCTCCATATTATTCATTTCACTGCTATGATTTCTCTAAACCAGTTCAGGGCTGTCAAGTGTTTTCTTGATGGGCAATGTGAAAAGGATGCCATCAATGAAAACAAGTTGAAAATTGCTGGGTAAAACTGTTCCAGAACTTGTTGCATGAGGGGTTGAGGCGTTTTGTAAGGTTAAAATGCTGACGTTGATGGCATGTCTGCATCTGGCGTCAGGCAGGATGCTGGTCAATGTCACGCTTTACTCTGCCCGGAAGAGGAGGGGGGGGGGCTGTCAGACCAGCAACAGCAACGTCACTGACTGCGACAGCTGAATTCCAAAGCAAATGCCCAATGCCTTGGGACATCCGCAAAATGCACGAACGTGCATGGGGAACAACCTATTGTCGGCCCGCCTGTCCGCATACATTTTTCAAAAGTTTCTAAATTGATTTAGATAAAGTTTGATACTTGAGAATGGGGTACACCAAGATGGCTGTCTTCTGGGTTGTAGCGCCATGTAAACCCAGAACACAGCCAACTTCTGACTTACCGCCGTGTATGCCTAAAATCCTACATGGATTATACTAGTTGGACGGTAAATATAACTTCTGCTTGATTCCCCGTAAGGGTACAGTTCTTTAGCCGCTGCGTACGCCTGCAGATAGCTTTGGAGGCCACCTGGATTCCTACCCAAGGGTCTATTCTGAGGAGGTAAAGAGGTCAGAACGTGAAGTTCATCACTCACCTTCGAGGTAGACGTTACGTTAAACAGATCTGCACTCATGACTTCTGCAGTACAAACCAAGTCCAGGTCCTGTAATTTGACACCTTTGAGTCACATAACAGAATCCGATGCTGGAAATAACAGATCTGAATGCTCCAGTTCCTGCTGTGTATGTGGTGTGGGGGTGGAGCAATCAGTGGCGTGCAGTTGGTAGTTACAATGTCACTGTTCTTTAACCTCCTCCTCAACACTACAAATTTCCGTCACCCGCTTCGAATCTCAGTCAAAAGAGGCTGCTTAAGTTCTCTCGTACTTCTTCCCTTTCTCTAAATAAGCCACGATCCTATCCTTCCTCATCCCATCCGATTAATCACTCATGATAAAACTGTATTATCGCACAACAAAATAACTTAGCATCAACTGACCACGCACAGTAGGCAAACAAACTTGTTCTGAGATGAATCAAACTCTTGGAATTAACTGGAAAATTATGTTATCAACGACGATGTGTCAAGTACAGAGGAGAACAGAATCGAATGAGAAGGGGTTATAAATGATGCGCATCTCAGCACACACTTTCAATTTTCTTTTGTTTTGACTCTGCCAGAATAGGCATTGCAGATCTACAAGACCTTTGTACACATCTAAAACCCTTTTCCCCCTCTTCGATGCACTTTGCTTTTAAACCCTGAAATTAGTCTATGTCACAGTTGGCCCACTTTAAAAAATTAAAATTCTTCAATTTTGACTTTCATGGGTGTCCTGTATCCAAGCTTATTATTTTTAACAAGATCATTCTTTGGGCGATTGTAAACAGACAATATATTCCAACGAGGAATTGTAGCGATTTAAATTTCATTTTCCTTAAAAAGAAATACACTACAATCAACGTTAGAAATACGTTCCAAACGAGTCCAAACTACGTACCGCGCAATTACTGCGCAGAAATATCTTGAAGTAGCGATTGGATGGAGCAAAAGCTGCAGGGTTAAAATGATTTAACATTACAAGTTCACTGCAAATTGCGATCCTACGATCCGCTATGGTTTGCAAAGCAAGCTTACTGCCCAGTTACACAGGTAGGTATAGTAGGCATAGTTTTCGTTTCAGGGCAAAATGTCAAGTATGGAAGGTTAATTTTATTGCGTAATTTCCCAGCTTTTGTAATTCCGATAAAAATGTTTTTATTTCCCAGACACCAGAGCGATATCAGCTTCCGTACGCCTCCGTAGCTTCTTTTGTTCATTCAAAATCTTAATTAAAAGAAAACAATGAACTGTATAGGCTATACCGTACACATTACAGGAGTGCTACATTGCGAAGAGCAGGTGGTTAACATTCCACTTTAACCACGAAACACAAGATTTACAGTTTCTATTTACCTACTGCTTCATTGATACGTGAGCCTATCTACAGAGAGACTCGTTATTTTGTTTCATTCGCGCAACTTGCTTTATATAGCGTTGAATGACATGTTTCTAAATGATATACTTCAAAGATCTGGAAATAAATGGCCGCAGCCTACTGTAACAACCTATCCCACCATTTGGCTGCTAGAATTGTGTAACACCATGAAAACATGCCAGAAGACCTTGTCTCCAAATCGATATTCGAATCCGAAACCTTACAAATAAACAGCACGATTACATCGCTACATTAGATACTCATTTTCATGACTATAATTATCGCAGTCGCTACTCCTACTTAGCAAAACAATTCCACGCTTCGGTTCTACGTTCTTCAGTTGGCATACAGAACCAACGCTAATCACAGTTTAAGCTGTTTTGTTCATGGATTAAAAAAAGTTCTGCACCTACAACCAAATTGCGCGCCTCGTATTGTATCTTTGCACCATGGTCTTCCGATAAATATTCGAAGCAGAACAAGATATCTTATGCAGAGGATAGAAACAATCGTGCTTGAGTATACACTCCACGCATTTCATGACTGAACACCACTAACACAGGTATTCTGTAACACCTGTCCACTTCGATTCACAGGTGAACTTTCACAACTAATTCGTAATAATAACTCCTGTAATGCTAACAAGTACTCACCAAAAAGGCACCTAGACCCGTACATGGACATGTTAATCTCGTTTCATAATATTTTAATGAAATTAATCCACCATAACGTTAGTTTATTGTCACTGCACAAACATCACTACACTCCATTCTCCAGGTATTCGCACTCGTTCTAAGTTTCCCCCACTCCAAACACTAGTGAGTCACTTTGTAGTTACATTCCTCAACCCAGATGGCAGTGCAAACATATTATCTTCAACTTATTACAGTGCAGGCATTTTATCTATGGTCATAGCTGGATTATGTAGAAAAAGAGGGAAGTTTCATGTGAAATTTTGTTGAAAGGTTGTATTGGCAACATTGATAGTTTTCATACACCGTTGAACAGAAAATAGAAATAAATTAATTCGTAAGGAATAAAATAATGGTCGGGCGAGCTGGTTTCCAAAGAATTGGGGCAAATCTACTAAGAAATCAATCGTAAGCTAAATATATCACTATATGATTACGTAGGAAGTTACTCAAGATGTATTCTGATTTATGTGTCTAACCTACATTCAGTGAGAAATTGTGTGGACAATAATTGCATTTTAATTTAACTGGCTGTCTAGTGTATATCATTCAGAAATAAATCACACGGAATTGGAGAGATGTTCTTATTTAGCACTAACGTGAATCTTATTTATTTAGGGGATCCAGCACAGGTCTAACTTGGCAGGGATGGAGGAAATGCATTTCTACCAGTCGAAACTCAAAATCGACTCAAGACCCTATTGAGAATAAATCGTCAACTCAGCCTCCACTAACACAACCATTACCAGGTCTTCCAACACCAGTATATGCAACATTGAAAGACCAGCACCACATTACACAAGTAACAACCTTGAAAAATGGACTGCAAGTTGCATCAGAGAATCGTTTTGGACAGTTCTGCACAGTTGGAGGCAAGTATGAATGGCGTTATTTGTTGCTTTTTAAGATAATCATAGTGATTTGCATTGTACTAATTCAGTAATTTCATTACAGTTGTGATCGATTCAGGCTCAAGGTATGAAGTGGCATATCCTAGTGGAATTTCACACTTTCTGGAAAAACTAGCTTTCAACGTAAGTTAATCAATTTTCTCTTTGTGTTACAGTATGGATTTTAAAGCTCTTTCCGCTATCATTCAATAACCAATTTTTTCCCTCTGCAGTCAACAACAGAGTTCCCTGACAAAGATAAGATTATGCTTGAGCTAGAAAAACATGGAGGTATCTGTGATTGCCAGTCCTCAAGGTAAGAGATAGTGAAGTGTAACATAAAAGTTCATGTGCATTTAGTATTGTATTATCACCAATGGATGTACAGAAATTTTAATAGCAAATTTGTTTTACCTTTGAAAGTCATTTTCTGTGAACCCTCATTTCCAAGATATGAATGGTAAATATAGGGTATTTAAATTAACTGTTCTTAATTTTGATTGTACATCAAGGGGTTAACTAGTGTATAAATGTTATGGAAAACCAAAGCTTGTTGGGACAGTAGAAAATAATGCAGACACCTAATAAAACTGAATGGTGAGGTTGCATGTGCCTGGAATATGTGCCAACTAGAAATCATTAACAGCATATAGTTATGTGATAATTGCATTTTCCATCCTCATTTCAGAGACACATTTATATATGCATCTTCAGCAGACCGCCGCGGCATGGATTCTGTGGTTCGGGTGCTTGGTGAGGTTATTCTTCGGCCTCAGATTTCTCTAAAGGAGGTGAATCCAGAATACTACACATAACTTTCTTGCTGCTGTTCCCTGCTGTGTAATATGAATAACATACCTAACATCTTAAATTGTTCTGTTCTAGCTGGCTGGTGCCCGCCAAGCTTTAAGCTTTGAATTGGAAAATTTATACATGCGACCAGAGCAAGAAACTATTCTTATGGACATGATTCATGCGGTATGAGTTCACTGCTTTTGCTTAATATACCATCTTGATACCAATACCTGAGTTTTGTTTTAAATATAATTCTGCATTGCTGTGATTCAGCCATAGTTCTCAGCACATTCCATTTCCTACAGTGTATGTATACCTCCAACCCATTTCTTAATAGATGGAAAACTGATTTTAGTAGGCATTTCCTATTATGAAATGTGTTCAACATGCCTATAATAATTACATTCATTGTAAATGTCTCTGTTGTTGAATGTTGCCAAATGTCAGTGTGTAGTGGTTAGTACTTTCCTGTCATTTCCTGATACACACTTAGCCCAAGCAGTTGATAAGGTGTTATTACATAAAAAGGACTGATGTATTAACAAAGTTATTGTCTTGTGTGAACAGGCTGCATATCGAGACAACACATTGGGCCTGCCAAAGATATGCCCAGAAGCAAATGTGTTGACAATTGATCGATCAGTGTTATTCACATATTTGAAACATCACTACACCCCAAGACGCATGGTAGTTGCTGGAGTTGGGGTTGAACACAACGCACTGGTTGAAAGTGTACAGAAATACTTTGTGGACATGAAGCCAATCTGGGAGGAAGATACAGATCTGGTTATACCCACACTTAGCATGAAAGTTGATGACTCCGTGGCACAGTATACTGGAGGGATGGTACAGGTATAACTCATAACTTACGACAAAACCTGTAGAGCTTTAGAATACAATAAGAGATGCAGAAATATTTTTTTCAGCAATACATTATATGAGGTAATTAAGTAATTAAAGTTGGGCCATGCTTTAGCATAGGTAATCAGGTGCTGCTTTCTAATCATAGAGGTCCAGATTCAATCCCACAGGATAGTGCATGTGAAGAGTGAAGGCAAGTGGAAGACAGCTGCACTGGAGCAGATTTTTAATAATCCACTCACATTGCAACTAGAAAGTTCATGCAGCAGTAATGATACTGACATTTGTCAAGCAGGAAGAGTGTACAATTCCCCTGCATGCCGGAATGTCTGGGCTGCCAGAGTTGGCTCATGTGGTGATTGGCCTGGAAGGATTCTCTCATCAAGATCATGACTTCATACCAATTTGTGTTCTCAACATGATGATGGGAGGAGGTGGATCATTCAGCGCAGGAGGCCCAGGGAAAGGCATGTACACTCGGCTGTACACCAACGTTCTCAATAGGTACACATTCAGGTGTCAACATCCGAGTGGATGGAGTCATGCTGCATGTAACTTCTTAAAAGAAGTGATAACAAATAATGTGAAAATAAAACATGATAGACATTAAATTGCCCACTTCATCCCAAGTATGTTCCTAAATACTGTTTTTTCATTATATAAAAGTAAAATATTGAGTACATTGACCCATCATTTTTCTTTTGATTAGTATTCTAAGTGGTTTTACAGACCTAGGACTACATTCACCATTTCTCATAAACTCACTGGCCACAAGGTTATAAATGAAGTGAAATTTCATGGCAATTTATTAAAACTGCTACTAAGTTACAATTGGAAACAGGTTCGCATATTTCACAGTAACTTCTGTCAACAAAATCAATCATTAGTGAGATATCTGATGTGACATTTGTTTAAGTGATCATTCTATATCAAGAGTTATTGTTTATTATTGCACTGGGTGATTATTAGTAGACACCTCATAGTTCTAGTCAGGAATACCCAGGTGTTGATAGATATTAAAATTGATCTTAAAAAATAGGGTGTGGACAAGGTCCAGTAGCAGACTTTTGAATATGGTGATGAACTTTCAGGATCCATAAATTGAGAACTTTGTTGACAGAGTGACGACTAGCTTCTCAAAAGGACCCTGTACAATGAAGTTGCTTAAAATTGTGCAATGTTATGTTGGATAGGCACCACTGGATGTTCAGTGCAACAGCATACAACCATGCCTACTTGGATTCTGGATTGTTCTGCATACATGCAAGCGCACCTCCTGCACATGTGAATGAAATGGTGGAAGTTCTCGTAAAGGAGCTAGTCAACATGGCAGGGGTCTTAGGAGAGCCAGAATTACAGGTTTCTGTTTAAAATATGATGATAATAACTGGCATCACATGAATGTCTGACATGTTAGGAGTTATTCTTTTATTTTTCAGCGAGCCAAGCGACAGCTTCAGTCCATGCTACTAATGAATCTTGAGGCTCGTCCTGTTGTGTTTGAAGACATTGCACGACAAGTACTGGCAACTGGACACAGGAAGAGGCCAGAACATTTCATAAAAGCAATTGGTAAAGTGACGACATTACTCTACAAAATCTGCTATTTATGAATGAAGGAAAGTTATTACAGCATTGGTAATTTAGGCCTACAGAAATTTTTGAGATTCCTTGTTTTCCTCAAATTCTTGAGGTATATGCTGCAATAGTAACTAAAATCAGAAAGAGCCACAGGCAACATTAAGCTGGCCCTTCTTTTTCATTCATACATATGAAAAAAGTATCAACTAACCATGTCTGAAAAGGTGGGACCCATTATAAAATCCAAAGCAAGTGGAAGAAATATTTACATTTCAGTTCTATGTCTACATCATGTGATCTGCATTTATGTGACTGATGAGATATTGTGCTGTGCCAATTGGCCATATGACATGAAGGTTGAGTCAAGAAACATGTAATGTGTAGAGTGTAAATGAAAATGTATTTTTGGTTACCAGTTAACCCCTGTATACGGCCTCCTTATTTCCATGAGACATTATCCTGATGTAAATCACACCCCCAAGAATTCTTTCTTTCTTTCTTTAGTCAAAAAACTGAAGGAAGAAGGTGTTGGTTAACTGAACATAGGAACTTAAGATGTCCCCTGAAAGAAAAAGACTTGCTTAATTGCCCATGGAAACATTACAGAATGTAAGTAGATGTAGGACCTATTAGTGATCTGAATCTTCTTTTCAGAGGATGTAACAGCAGAAGACATACATCGTGTGGCAAGGCAGCTGTTGAAATCGCAACCCTCCATCGCAGCCAGAGGAGATATACATAAACTTCCATCTATGGCTGATATTCAAGCAGGATTACTGAATCATGAGGGCAAATTGCCTGGAAGTAGGGGGAGACTCTCGCTTTTCCGATGAACTTGTTCATATAAATTTAGAATATGAGCTAAATAAATGGAAACAAGTTTCAATGTATAAACATGACAGTATACAAAAATAAATTCTGTTGTATGTTCCTAGCTTATCTAAATATTCTTTTGGTATTATGTAATCATCATTGTATACATAAATTCATTTCAAAAATAAACTGCACTCTCAATGAAAATTATTAAAACACAACATTTCAAGAACTGGATCTGTCCTTATCATAACGGTAGGTACTGAAGTAGGTACCTCCTTCACTACACCTGAAGATGAGGGCATCCAGTTCTTGAAACATTGGATGGTTGCATACATCTTCCATTTGTTATGTTAATACTCTGCTATGTCGACACAAAACATCTATCTTCTTCAGTGTCTTCAGATTAGCCATTCTTTTCTTTGGCCTACTATTTTATTTGCTTGTCACTTGCTATTTATTGCATAGAACTAAAACATCTTTAATTTAACATTTTCTGAGATGTAATACTGCAGAAAATATGTAAAGGAAAAGCACAACAAATTATGAATATTTAGATTAACCCTTTTAGGCTAAAGGTCATCTAAATAATATTTAATAATTCAGTCTGCACCTCAAAGAAAGAACAACGCATCTACATTACAAAGATTGAATGGTTAATGTTGTTTAAGGAAATAATGGTTGTTTCATGTGAGAATCATAATGAAATCCATAAATACACTGTGGGAAAAATACAGTTACTGATTGTTAAAGCAGGTGGTACACTATTGATGAAAATAAAAGTAAGGGTTCCCCAACACCTTATGCACTGTAGCCTCTGTCTCACTCCTTGCCCGCAGACACATGTAAGCAGGCCACTGACCCTGATTTGTTGTCTGAAACAGTTCGCACATCTTTTGAAAATGATCGGCGACCTTTGCTGTACGATGACTTTTCTTGGTGTGATGATGGCAAATCAGACAGTTCTTTAGAAGAGGACTGCCTTTCTCTGTCAGAAGACTGTGACGATCTAATATGTGATATGCTGCGAGGCCGCCGCTGACGCCATAAACTCTTAGCAATGACTCGTTTCTGGTGGTCAAGCTGTGGGAACAGGCCTGTAACATGACACAGGCACATGGCAGGATGGCAACCAAAATTAATCTGGAAACAAGGTGATATGGTTCACACATGCAAATACTCAAGTGCTGAGGTCTAGAATCTGGGAATCTTTACCTTCAGATCCTTTATGTACCTTCATGGTGGGTTTTAGATACACGAGCACGTGGTGTAGGAAACACAAAGCTATTTATACACACATCCGTACCTTGTGACAATTCTAGCGCCTCTTTTGCAGCATTCATCTCTGCCTGTTGGATACTATGACCAGATGCCTTTGCCAGGCGTTCTCCACGAAAATACACAGCTACCGTGTATACCCTCGTATTGGTTGGACCCTTACACTCGATCACCCTGTGAACAACAAACAATTAGCTACATCAGCTTTTCGCACACTGAAAGAGAAATCACTGGTGCAGCTAAGAGGGCATCCAGGTGAGGTGGAACTTTGACACACAAATATGATGATACCAGTCTCTTTCCTTGTGAAATGAGTACAGTAGGCTGAAAGCTAGAAATATATTTATAAAATATAACTTCAATAGTGTTCACAGATTTGGCAAAAGCTAGCTTTGCTTTGCTTCGTTACATACTTGTACACTGGAATATCTGGTTCCCCTCCCTCCATGGTACGTAATGTCAGACAACACTGTTGTAGTTTTGACTTGGGGTCATTCCAGTCTTGGTTCATGATAAAGTCCTGCAGTCGTGGGAAGAAACATACATGGCAGAACACATGACAATAGTCCAATCCCTGAGGAAGAAAATGCAAACTATAGTATAGTACAGGCAACAACCGATCATACTGCACATTTACTAATAACATACCAGCTATTATAATCATCTTCATTTAACTACCCCAACTACAGTACACAAGTATAAATCTTCAAGTCCCTTGATATATAGCTACCTCTATTAATAACTTTATTTTCAAATATTCACATACCATTACATACATACCTTATCAACATACAAAGCACCAAGGAAAGCTTCGAGTAAATCTGCCCGATCCTTTGTCTTCAGTTCAACTTTGGGGTTTGAGTAGAGAGCATAGCTGATCATCCCAAGATCATCACATACAACAGCCTGCGTTCTGTTATTCACCAGAGAACTGCGTAGTAACTGCAATCAAACAAATAACTAACTGCAATGTTACAGGACCTTCACCATGCAGTTTAGCCATTCAGCTCAATAAGGCATTCCCTACTGTTCTAGAATTCAAAGTTCACCATATGCATCATAAAAATGTCAATGGATTTTGCTGTAAGCCACTTAAATCCAGTTCACATACCTATTTCTTTATGATACATTTTGATATTATCCCATATTCATCATAGTCTCCCAAATGGTTGAGCCATTAGTGATTTTGTAACAAAATTTCTGTATATACTTCTCATTTCCTCCAATAATGGAAATGAGTACATAATTGCATGATTCTTGCTAGCCTCACAAGCTATTTTCTGAACTTCAGATTAAAGACGTGTAAAACTGTGTTCAAATTCCATAAATGTTTGAAAATGTAGTTTAATGTTTCTAATAAACTGTTCTGGAAATACCTGACTCTGAACGGCTGATGACTGCGAACTGTACACAGTGGCACTACAGAAATTGATCCAATGCACTTGTGAAGATGGTAGAGATTTTAAGTATTACAATTGCAAAGACTAAAAGTAAAGTATGTATTAGTACACTTACTGACAAATGCCCTTCGTGGTGCTCTGGAAAGTACTTGTAGAGGTACTCAGAAGCTATCAGTTGAAGTACAGTGTCCCCCAAGAACTCAAGGCGTTGGTTAGACCCTCTGAAATATTTCACATTAATAGTTCATACAGGCAGAGTGAAATACACAGGAAAACTTTCCACAGTTTGAAATTTATGTACAACATTCTCTAGGGAAATAATAATAGAAATCAGATATTAAAAACAAGAATTTCTGGGAAAAAGTATGAGCTTACTTTGCTCAAAATATGCGAGGGTAGAACGAAATATAACTGAATAATTAAATATCTCTGCTTACAACTACTTCAAAGCACGTATTTTTGGAAAGTGAATACAAATGAACTTATCTGAACTTACAGTGTAAGATTTGTGTATCCAATGCTCCTGTCTGTGAATGCTCGAGCCAGGAGACGTATATGCTTGAATTCAACGCCTATTGACTCTTCAAACTTGGTCAGATTCTGAAAAATGTTTTGCCTTTTTTAAATTAACCTTAAAATATAAAGTCCTTTAATCCTGCATAATAAGCAAACAAAATGTACAAAATGACAGCAGTTGCAGCTCCACACATAAGGAAGCAACAAAGGCTGGACTTCTTAATATATTGTGGCTCCCTTCTGGGATGTAATGCTGTGCAGTCTGGTATAAGTTTGATGACATTTCAGAGGTGCTTGCTGCATCCATCATCAGTGGAGTAAGTTGGACCAGCCAAACGTCTGCCTTGACTAATTGGCTCCTATATCTCAAACCGATTCCTCACACATAGCTTGCTCATCACCCTGACAATGAAGGCAGCAAGAATCTCACTTCTACCAGACTACACAGCGCAACAACCCAGAAGACAGCCATCTTCATACTTGCTGCCGTGACAACCTGAAATCTCACGTAAAAATCTTGAAGCCACAAGACTTCAGCTTCCATATAACATTTAGATATTTCATTCCAACAAGGTCACACAGATACTTGCTTACCTGTAGGAGCTCAAAGGAAGGGATCCACTTGCGATCCCCAAGGGGCTCCTGTTCTTGAAGGGGGTGTGGTGGGTAGTTTACCCATACATCCAGGAGGTCTGTGTCTTGCTTGAACAAGGTTTCTGCAAATACTTTGTCTGCAACCTGTATTAAAACACACATTTGCAACAAATCTACATTCTTTCTGTTTTGGGCTATGCAAATCAAGCTTTGATAGAAGTCATAATAGATTAAATACAGCATAATTAACATATTACATATGGAATGAAGACTTATCACAATAAATGAATGTTAAATTGAGTGAAAGAAGTGAACAGTACAGGACACAATTTTGTTTCAAGATTTAAAAAAATGTAAGATAACAAACACACAAAAACAATTTATAAAACTCCTTATATCTTTTAAATGGCACATTACAGAGAATTGGAATCACATTTTAAAGGCCATGTGGGACACATAAAAAGTATAAAAATTTTAGGAAGAATACAGCAAAGACAACTCTTCAGCAAGATTGAAAAGTGTATTCTCTGGAGATTTATGATAAGCCAAATGTTACAGATTGTTGTTGCACTAACTGATCCAAGGTCACTGATGTATCTTAGTCATTCAGAATCCCTTTACAAACTCGTATTTGCAAAAAGGACCTTGGACCTTGATGGAATCTTTGGCATGAAAGTTTTAGTTGCTGATTAAATTCAGATGGTTCAAGGCAAGGTCCACTGGTCAGGATTTGTGAACAGAGTGATGAACTTTCATATCACATTAAAGCAGGGATTCACTTGATTCAGTAGTGAAACTGTCATACCTCAATGCCACCATCCAAGAATAATGCTCCCATGAGAGCCTCAAAACAGTTGGCCATAGCATGCCGCAGTTCTAAATCGTGGCATAAATCAGACCCATGAGCATACAGCATGTATTCCTCAAGGCTCAGAATCTGGAAACACAATTTTTGACACAGCTGTTGACTACATTCCCAGCAAAAGCTCCACACTAAAGCCATTTTTTATGCAAGGCTGTGATGAGAATTTACTACATAAATGGGACCTTTAGGCATGTATACATGCAACTGAAAGCAAAAAATTCTGTTCCAAAATACTGGATACTATTCCCTAGTAATTTTTAAATGTTCTTTGTTGTGCCTCTTTAACAGCATTATTTATCTCTGAAATAACTAAACAGATTTTGATTAAATTTTGTCCTATATGGTGATATATTAACAAGAAGTTACTATCATATTTAAACAATTGTCTCAAATATATAAAATCATGCATACAAACAAAAATGTTTACACTTTAAATAACACTTTGGCACATTCATCGCCCTGATGATGGAGGCAGTATGACCTCTGAAACAGTGGAAATCTACCAGACTATATGGCGCAATAGCCCAGAAGACAGCAATCTTCAGACTCACCACTGTGAAAACCTCAAATCCTACATAAATGAGTCTGTAAAGAACTTGTGTGAAAAATGTGCACTGCAATGGAGTGCACTTTCCAGTCTAGTTCTTACCTTTGCAAGCACAGCAAGGTGTTGGTTCTGTACGATGGCAGCCCTGTAGGTAGCCAGTCCTCCCTCCTCAAGGTCAGGAAACATGTGGAAGAGATGTATTGAAGTGAGAAACTCAACCACTGCGTCTCCTAGAAACTCCAAGCGCTCATTGTGAGTAATGTTAGATTCTGTCTCTGTCTTCTTCCCAAAACGAGACATGATGTTGATCAACGTATTAATACCTGCAAACACACAAACACAACTAACTGAATAACTACCTCCGTCGAACAAGATCTTTAAACAGCAGATAATATTAAATCAATTGATTTACATTCCCTGCCATCATGGACCCCAATGATTGATTACCATTATCATAAAATCTGTCATCAGGCCCCATCTGCAGTCAGTACAATCCATTCACATCTTTAAAATTTGTCCAAAATCAATTTTAATACAATACAATTTGAACATGATCTTCTCAATTTTGTTAGTAGCTTCTTTCCAAAATTAAAATTCGGCATGTATTCCTTACTTCCCTTCGTTTGACTTCATGTCACAATACTGGATATTATGAGCAAATTTTTGACCTTACACCATTTCAACAGAAGGCACAAGTTTGTCTCCCAACCAGTTACTATCATCTTAAACCTGACATCTCACCTCGCTTCCTGGTGTTCATGTAGTGAATCCTCCGATCTCCATATTCTGGTTGTCGAATGCCACAATTTGTTAGTGAGTTCCTAGCATGATCAGGATTTGTACCAAAGTTCTCTCTGAAATGCACCACCAATATTTCTATTTAAAGCATGGAGAGACAGATGAAGCCATCAAGATAATTTTGGCAATTCAGAAAAAGAAAGGGGTTAAACACATTCAGTCCTAAAGATTAAGGAAGAGAATTCTTCTGAAACATTGGTATATATCTACAAGTCCTCATGGACCAACACTGACAGCATCACCATCATAAGAGTCCTAAATCTTATACATTCACTTTCATTTTATTCAATACAGTTCTTTACAAAAACTCCCAGATACACATGTATGAAATGCACGTTTAAATCTAGTGCCACATTTAAAGAACAAAACCTGGAAAGGTATTACCTACATTTTTCACTGCAAGAAACATCTGAAATACTGATATGTATTTCTAGAAGACAGAGAGATCGAGGAAAGAATGTGAAATAAAGCTGGACAAAAATAAAGAACATTAAGGAGGAAAGAAAGAAAAGTAAGTATGACAAGACTAAAAATACAGAAAGGATTTGCCAGTGCTAGACAAATATGATGAACCTTAGGAATTTAGACATAACACATGTCTGACTACATCCCTCACCTGTATGAAGGATGAGTCAGAGCCAGCTGCAGCAGGAAGCGATTCTTGAACTTATAATCAATTACTTTCTCCAGCACATCACAGGAGCGGTGGAAGCGCAGATGGCATACCAGAACTGGGATCAGCATGGCATGCTACAAGGAATTCAGAAACCATTAAGACACTATCATGCTTGAACTTCATGTGCATCTTGTCCAAATCTGTGATGTCTTCGAAGTCTGACTGGCTACAAATTCTAAAATTTTTCCAGTTTTGGGAATTACTTAATTTTTATGTCACAAGAACACAAGGATTTGTTTAAAAAACATAAACTCTTGTTAAGATATTACTTGCAGACTATATTACTATCGATATGTAAACACAATATTATGCTACATTCATGTTTGCTCCCCTGCAGTAAATTCTGAACAATCAAACAGACTTCCATTACACTAGAAATGAAGAGGCCATCTCCACCCTCACACTTTTTCATAATTTCCAGACTCTAATAATGAAATATGAAGGCCAAACAAATTTCTAAGATAGAAGCAATGCTAGTGCCACTTAAACCTGTACTAGTGGCAATTATATGCACAAACAGATCACTACCCTGCTTCATTATTAATTCAACAATTCCTGCTACTCCCATTTTGAACTAAACACTTGAAGAAAAGCAATCATCTTTAAAGAACTGTGCTAAACAGGCTGGGCTAACAACAATGTAAGTATTCTTTCTGCACCAACCTGTATTATGTCACACATGATGCCTGTTCGGTGAAAACCATTGGCTGTCACAGCAACAGTAACATCTCGTTTCATCTTGCTCTGCGTTCTCATTTCCTGCAGTTTGTTCTCCTTTCCTTCCAGTTTACGTTTGTCTTCAAATGATGGTTTTGGCATGTTGGCCAGCAGATGCCGGAATTTCACATATTCCCGCCAGGCCTTTTGGTATCTGACAGTTACAAAAATCCATAAGGGGATGAAGAAAATTACATGATGAGAAGCTTCATAATTTTTGCTCATCATCCAGCATTGTTACGGTGATTAAGACAAGATGGATGACATGGGCAGGACAAGCAGCAAGCATAGAAGAAACAACAACTCCATACATTATCTTTAGAAATGTAGCAAGAAACCACATATATATATAAACATGAAATCCTTCTGCCATTCCAGACTCTCTATGTATAGGTACATGGAGACGACATACGGTGTAATGCATAATTTTACCTAATGTTATTAAAAGACTTATCAACGCAAATAAAATTATCTCATTTCTCTTACTACTACTGCAACTGTTGTTGATAACAGATAATACTGCCATCATTGCTGTTGTTGTTATCATTATTTTCATCATCCTTGTAGTTTATTTATGTCTCTGACTATAAAGGGTCCTTTTAAAACACCCTCAGTTGAACTAAACTGGCTGATAAATGCTTTTGAACAATGCAAATGAGTTGGTGAGCTAATCTGTTACTTTTAAACACAAAGAACATACTCAGGATTGCCAGCATAACTGAGCTGTGGAGGGCGAATCCCAAAGTGCACAATCTCTGGGTATGGAAGGGCATCTGTCTTCTGCTGGTCGCGGTCTAACTGATCCACACGCACTGAACATGGCTTCATGCCAGGATATGTAACAACCATCCCTGAAAATATACATTCACAATACTAACAAATATGCTGACCTTAACATAAGAACATACAACCTCCAAGAAGGAACTCTTTTAATCAGTTTAATAAGAAATTCCCTGGTTTCATGGAACCCAAAGGTTCACCACTGTATTCACAAAAGAAAACCTTGATCCAGTACCTTCATACTGTCACAACCCATTATAATATAAGCACATGCAGCAAATTTCTTGAGCAGCTCAACTAGTCGAAAATTACTAGCATACCGTGAAGATCAGAACACAGTGGTAGAGATGTAATTTGTGTAGATGACAACAGGATTCCCTTGAGAGCTTGAAAAATAAAGTATTAAATAAATAACCATCAGGAATACAAAAATGGGTAGAGATAGGATGAACAAAGACATAACAGGAGCACTTGCAGGATGACAAAGAACGTATAAGACTTTATCTCTAAGATGACCCACACTAGTGAAAAAATCAATGGATGATGATTGGTGACATGAAAAACTGCAAACCTTTCACTTCATCTGCAAAGTTTTGCCACTTGAACTGTGGCATGCTCAGAAGATCTTTCAGTTTTGACTCTTCTATAAGAGACTTGCTGTTTATCAGGAGATAGTACATCACCTCATTCATCGACAGGATCTCCTTCCCATTATCTGAAAGCAAAAACAATTTGACTGTCATGAATACAAACACAAAACAGAAAACTTTCTGGGTAAAGTACAAGAAACATGCAGAAAAATTACCAAGGGAAAACTAGAGAAGTGAGTAGGTATTAACTTCTTACATACTCCTAACCTTTCACCTGAAGATGGAAATAGATTCAATTTCCAAATTGCTGTTTTCTTTACAGAATATCAGATGAGAAACAAAGACCAGAAATCCAGTGTTACTGAATACAAACCTTACTAAGTCTGTGGCACTACATTACAAAGATTCAACACTCTTAATAACAAACTCATCAATCCCTGCACACTCACAAATCACATTCTGCTGACACAAACCTTGGTCTATAAAACACATATTTATTTTTTACATTTCTGTTTTTAATGCTACACCAGACACTTCAGGATAGTCTGAATAAGCAAATTCCACCTCTAAACATAGGCATGATATGTTTTAAGAATTCATTAATATTACATTGCATATGCCCTATGGATATATTTAAAATTGGCACACCTGCAAGATCTCGAACAAATCGAGGCATGAAGTGGAACTGTGAACAGCCAGTGGAGTCACCATGAGCTTTGAAGTCCAGGTCCACCAGTTCCAACAGTTCCCGGAACAGGTAGTCATCTAAAACGCAGCCAAATATTAAAGCTAAAACTTTTACATTTTTATCTTGAAACCACTGACTTAATACAGTGGTCTGTATACGCAAAAACAAAGGGTGTAAACAGCGTATTCAGAAGAGCTCTGGAATTACAAATGAAAGACAAAAAACCAAAGGATAACACACATCTTAGTGGCTCATCCAAACAAATGATTAGTATTAACAGCACATAATCAATGCAGTCCACTTTATCTTGGCACTATAAACATTGCTCAACATACATATGCTATAGAGGCACAGTGAATTCAATCCATAAAAGACATGGAGGAGGAAAACAGTCAACAGCTTCTACAAACTATAATTCTGATTTCTCATGCACCTAGATACTTACGAAAGAGATCCAATTCACGAATAGTGAAATTCTCTGGCAACTTCTCATCAATGTACAAAATTGTGTACTCTATATTGAAACGGATCACCTTGCATGTTGGCAGTTTATCCAGGGGAAAATGTGAGAACATGGAGAATCCTTCAAATATAAACTCATGTTCATCATGTTTGATAATTGTTGGTGTCTTGGTCTGCAATATAAAGGCAGAGACAGGCCCAGTTTTAGTGCACACACTACACAAAAGCAGAGAGATGCATGTGTACTATGTCCACAGAGATGTTACTTACTCTAAAATACAATTACATCAATTTTGTTAAAATACTTCTAATTAAATCCCTGGTAACTGAACTTGAATTTTCAATACTGCTAACTTGGAACATATTATGAGGGTCTTTCTAAGAATGTGAAGTTGTTCCTTGTTTCTTACACCAATGTCTGTTCTGAAAATTTTATGATCCCTTTATAGCCATTTGGAAGACTTGAGAGGAAAAAGTTTCAGTGAAAGTATGTCAGGATGCATTGTTCATTTCATTAGATACTTGGCTGGAACGACAGCAATATCCCATGCATATCTGGAATAATACCCTTTGGTGAGGAGTTTTATGAGATGTGTGAAATATAAGAACAGCCAACTGGATGAATCACTATTTGTGATTTTCTCTTCATCTTCTACATTTTCTGAAAAAGATGATGGCAGAAGAAAAGTTTTAACATGTAGTAAGTAACATGTCAACAGGAGTAACTGGAAGAACAACTATAGTACTCTCTATGCCAACTACTATAAAACTAAAATTATTGAACTATAAATTTACAAAAACAACCAGAACTTAATTTTTTACATGAAAGAGAACCAGGTGAATAACAAACATTCTGAGTTCATAAGAAGAATAATGTGCCACAACCAAACCACATTTGTGACAATCTGGGCAGATAAGCACATTGACAATTACAATGATATAAGTTAACTCACCAGAAAATTTGTAGGGGGAGAGATAGTGATGCGGTAATGAAACAGCCTGTCAGCATTGTTTGTGTCTACATTGCATTTCACAAGATGAGTCTCTCCTGCATAGATTCCATGGCGAATACCATACCTTCTTGCTTTAGCACTGCAGCGGCACAGAGGACCATCATTCATCTGTCAACAACATATGACCAGTCACAATTTGACACAATAACAAGTTTATTATATCATGCATGTTTCAAAGATATTTCATCATGTAGTACTTCAAAACCTTAACAGTAAATGGACATAAAAACCATGCCTTATACAAAATCCACAACTGAACTGGTCAAGTCTGCAAGATTTACATACTACTGCAAGTGGCAGTAGCAGTATTTGAAAAATAAAATAATAAATGACTTGAAATATACCTCCCCAGAGTCATTGTACCACATTTCTGGGTGCAGGCGGTATGGATGCAGCCGCTTCCTCTCCAGTTCTTCCATTGTGCAGTCTTCCTCGTCAGTTGAACTCTCTTCACTTGAAGTGTCACTTGAACTGCACATTTCAGCTGTACAAGCAAATAATTTCAACAGAGGAAACCTCTAAATTACGAAGGAAATGTGAATGGGTTGCAGACGAAACTCAAGAAGTGCACACTAATCACATAATTCTGTTTTGTTTTGTTGGGTACGAAGCTTTCTCTCTCTCTGATAAGCAAGGAAACTGATGGAATTTGAGAATAGAGCAATGATGAGAATATCTGGACTAAAACCAGATAGACCAATGGGGAAATGAAAGAAATGGAGGAAAAAAGAAATTCATACAGGTTCTTCCTAGGTTTGTTAGCTAGTGTAACACTGTTTCTTTTATAACAGCAATTTCACAGAAATAATATTTACTGTAACTACATTTACATTTGTGTTTGGCAAGCCGCATCCTGTTCTTACGAGGGGGTGGCTCATACTTGGGCCTGCCAGATCGCACCTTCTCAGCTCTTGCTACCAACTCATCATCGAATCTCTCACACAAAGCAAGCAACCTTGGTGTTGCCTTCATCACCTTATGATTTCTGTAAGTAACGCAGCCAATATCAATAAAACAGGAAAATGAGGAAGAAGCACAGATGGTAGAGAAGAGGAAATTGGAGGGAACAGAGTAGGAAAGGAGGCACATACTGAGAGAAGGCAAAGAACAGTTATACCCATGTAGACAATGCAAAACTCTGATCAATAGGTATATTTTTGAACCTTTTAATTGGAAGCACACCTACAAATGTAGTTTCTTTCCTCTAGGTAAGTTCCATGCCTCAGCAATAAAGCTGATGCCCATGAGGTCAAAACAACAAGAATAGTGACACCTACTTTTCATCACGCACATAGTACAGGTCAGCTGGGGCTGTACGCGTCCACACTTTCTTCTCGTGTTCCACAATCTCCTCTGGTTTCATTTTTGCCAACTCTTCCAACTTCTTCTGCATCTCTGCAGTGTTAGCACAGTAATTCATTCTAAAATATGAAAGCAAAGTCTTGCAATGCAGCAACACATTTCAAAAGTACGCACAAAATGATAATTTACATATGTAATGAGCATTTTGAAATAAATGACATCTCGTACATTACGCAACACAGATAGGAATATTTAATTAACAAACAATTTCATTTATATGGATTTTCATGATTCATAAAAATCTGGCAAAGGATATAACAACGTCAATACAAAAGACCACCAACAGACACGACCCTAAAACAGTTTCATCCACCTCCTAATCCCAACTATTGCCATTAATATCAAAATGTAAAATAGTTAGTACCAACTGAAGAGAAGGTAAAAAAAGTCCAATACAGCTATAGATATGGTAGCAAAGAAAAAAAGGTGGGGGAACAGACCATCTAAGGAATATTAACCAATTAAAATACAACTATGGTAATAAAATTAAAAGATTCAAGATATAATTTCCTAAGTAAGATTTGAGGTTTTCATGGCTGCGAGTACAAAGATGACTGTCTTCTGGGTTGTAGCACTGTGTAGACAGGGTGATCACCCTAAATTATAGAGACAACAAGGACCTCTGAAACACTGGTTAAATGTCTACCAGACTACACAGCACTACAACCCAGAAGACAACCATTTTCACATCATTTCTTACTCTCCCATGGTTCTATTTAACATGTGACTCACCTCCATTTCTCCAGCAGCAGTTCTCGCTCTGTAGCAGCCCTCTTCTCTTTGTATGAACTCGTGTATAAGCTTCTATGAGGTACATGAAGTGCAGACCTTGAACTCAAGGATTTAATGGATTCTGGACTATGAGATCGACTTCTCTTCCGTGAACTGGCAGCAGACTTGTAATCAGGGCTGTGCGAGGTACGCCTAAAGCTTGCTCGACTGTGAGATCTCAATGAATCAGCACCAGGGCTATTAGAATACCTGGGATTCCTAGGAGAAGATTCTAGTTCTGTTTTCACAGAAACCCCATTGTCACCAATTTCAGAACACTTCTTGTTTTCACCACCCCTC